TGCGAAGTCTCCTACACGGAGCGCTAGTTCCTTGAGCTTGGCAAACATCTCTGCACAAACGTTTCCTGCTGCACTGGACATGTCTGTTCCTAATGCACATGCACTCATGTTCAGAGACTGTTCCTGGCCTAATGCACATGCTCTCGTGTCACTGCACATGACGTCCTGCTCACATGCACTTGCACTCACGAAAAACTCAAGTTCCTGAAGTCCTTCAACCTTCTGCCTTTCCTGAAACCTTTGACACTGAAAACCTTCAGAAACTGACGGCAAAATTCCTGAAAACAGTAACGCTGCAAACGCGAAGTTTCCTTTACTCTTTATCATACGGACTGCGGCTTTGGCTTGCTTTTGGGACAAATGTTCCTGAAGTTCTTCCTTTCCTACGGGTTCGTTCTCTCCGGTTTGGAAGCCTAGCCAATGCAACAAAAGTGTCTAATTCTCTTGGCTGAGAGAAGTTTTGTTCCTACGTCGGCAGTATTTTCCTTTGTACCTACAGGGTGCACACTGATGGTTCCTTCTTTGCGGAGGTCCTGCAAGGAAAGTGTACGGATCTGCAAATGCTTCACACGTCCTACACCTTGCCTTGTAATCATACCTCTTGCTGCTGAAGAATCCATATACAAATGTACCTTGCATGTTCTCTTGGTGAGAAACTTGACTGCTTCCTGCAGAAATATGCTGTCACTGGCTGCACTAGCTCCTGCATAATACTCTGCCTCTCCACTACTGAGGCTCACCGACTTCTGGGTCCTTGAAAACGAGTAGATACACTGTCCATCCCTGAACTAGTGGAACGTCTAGTGTCCTTCTTTCCTGCCCAATCCGAATCACTGAAGACTTCAAGTAGGTGATGTTCCTTGGGTCCAACTTCAGTAAAGTCGTAGCTGCCGTTCATGACTGACTCGTGGAGGTTGCTAAGTCCTCTCGGGGTTTTCCTGTACACCATGTGATATCCTTCGGTCCTAGACATGTACTGCACAAGGTGAATTAAATACTTCATTCCTGCATGTGTTGGTTCTGCCATCTTGGAGGCTAAACCTCGAAACGCGAACTTGTTAAAGAACGGACTTCACAAAGAGTTCCTACACTCACAGTCACTCGGACACTTTTCCTGTCACGGGCTTGTGTCCTTGCGGTCTTGAGCCTTGCACGCAGAAGTCGTGCTCAGCTGTTCCTGCACATTTACAGTAGTGTTCCTACAGCCGTACTGTCAAAGGGGAAATGTTTAACACCCCGCCTTCGAAGTTAGTGCCGGTAAGTTCCTTACCAAACTGGCTTCGATACTTCCTTTTTCCTATACACGACAGTACCTGAAGCTGTGGACGTTTTACTCACAAACTGTGGTTCCTGGCGCAAACGTTTCCGTTCACTTGCAATCCTCTCCTAGGTTGCTTGTTCCTGTACAAACTGCATTAACACTTTACCTGGATCATCATCCGCGTACTCAAAGAAAACAAAAGTTCCTAGTGCAAACGTTCCTGCACTGTACGGTCTTCCTGAGTTGCAGGAAGGGTCACGCTTTCCTTGGCTCTCTGGCCTCACTTCTCCTTGTAGCTTTCCTTTGGTCTTCACTGGTAGTCGTTGTCGGTCTTTCCTTTGGAGTCTTTGTTTCCTTTTCCTTTGGACTCCTTTCCTTTTTTGCTGCTGCTGCTTCCTGGCTCTCCTTTCAACCACTCTTCCTGGTCCTTCTGCTTCTGCCTCTGTTCCTCTAACCAGTCTTCGTGGTCCTTCTGTTGTTTAAAGCTCTTTTCCTTTCCTCTGTTGTCCTTTGCCTGTCGGATCCACTTCTTCGCGTTCATGTTCCAGTAGTACCAGAACTTGTTCCTTTCGACCCATTTCCACTGGTAGTTGATTCCTTCGAAGCTGTAGATCGCGAAGTACGATCCATCCTGTGATTCCTGAAGTGCTCCTGGTGGTTCGGGCCAAGTTCGTCCTCTTCCTTGTCCTTTTCCTCTTCGTGTTCCTGCTCCTTCTTTTCCTCTGTCTCCTCTGGCTCGTGCGTGCGCTGCTCTTCTCCTGTTCCTTTTCCTGTTGCTTCTTCCTCTTCTCTCTCCTCTGCTGTTGCTTGCGATCCTTTGCTCTCAAGTTCCTGCTGTAGGCTTGCGATCCTGCTTTTGTCCTTCTTCCTTTCCTCCAACAACTCTTCCATCATCCTTTCCATCTTCTCAATCCTGGCCTCTTCCTTCTTTGCTGCTGCGGCTGCTTCCTTTTCCTTCACTTCTGCTGCGGCTGCTTGCTTCTTTTTCTCTTCTGCTGCGGTTTCTTCTGCTTCTGCTTCCTCTGCTTCCTTCTCCTCTCTTTTGCGTGTCAAGTAGGCTGCTGCTTCCTTCTGCTGCTGCTCTCTCTTCTTCCTTGCTTCCTTTTCCTTCCTCTTCTTCTCCTGCTCTTTGGCTTCTTTTGCTGTCCTGGCTTCCTCTGCTTCTCTCTCTGCTGCCTCTGCAGCTGCTTCTGCTGCTGCCTTTGTTGCTGCCTCTGCTGCTTCCTCTGTTTTCCTCAGTGCTGCCTCGATCTCCGCTTCTTCTGCTCTCTTCCTGGCTGCCTCCTGTTCTCTCATTTCCTTCTTCTCCTTAGCTTGCCTGTCCATTTCCGCCCAGTATGCCCTGTCTTCCTCATCTCTGGGCACGAATCCTGTTCCGACCTTTTCCTTCTGGTTCCTCTTTCCTTTCTTGCCTTTTCCTCTGCCTTTCTCGTGCTTGTAGGTGTAGTCGTAGTCAACCCAGATCTTCTCTCCTGTCACGTAGTGCATCTTGAAGGATAGTCAAAACATGTCGGCCGCCGGCACCTCGCCACGCCGATAGAACGCTTGCAAACACATTACATATTTAATCGGCCGTTGGCACCCCGCCACGCCGATATAACGCTAGCTTGTGTACACATATTTTGGCAGTTCGCCCCCGGCGACGCCGTCTTCATGAAACATGGTCGGCTTGCATGGCACGTTGTGCGTGTTGCGCCTGTATGTACTGGCTTTTCATGCACAACAATGCAGTCGTCCGATCGAGTGCGCCGCCCAGCTTCATTCGTGGTCGCTCGCTGCAGCATGTCATTAACACGATTGGCCAGGTATGTGGAGACGTTAGCTGCATCGACGACGTGGATCGAGGACCGGCCTTTTGCACTAGATGCCATGCATGCATGCATGCATGCCATGCTCCATGCATATGCTTCGAACATCGAGCTGCAGCATGATCAAACGGTGCATGCCCCATGCCACCAATTTGACACATATAGGACATGGCAGGGTTGATCAGATCATATGGCCGGATACAATCAGGGCATAATGCTGCCGATCGCGAACCGCCGCAATGTGCCGCCGCCGGAAACATCTCGGGTGCGGCTGGCGGTGGCGGTGCATGAGCAGCTGGCCGACAGCCCGGTGCTGTCGATCAGCTCGAGCGTGGGGCGTCAGATCCCGCAGACGCCGCTTGTTAGGATTCAGGGTTTTTGGTGGGTTTTATGTTTGTTGCTTTAAGGGCCAGTATCGAGGCCGACGACGCCCTACACGCCGACGCCGCCGGGCATGCTGCTGACACCAGCGACGGGGCGCATGCTGCACCTTCGCGTTTTTCTTGCTTTAGGGGTCGCTCTGGCTTAAAGCAGTTTACGTTGTAGGGCTTGTAGGTTTTAGGGTTTAGTTTTTTATTAAGGTGTAGAGTTCAGGGCACCTTAAACCCGAAAACCCTTAACCCTAAACCCCTACAACGAAACAGCCCAGGCATGTTCTCGCTGCGGTCCCGGACACGCCAAGTCCTCTGCCATACATCGGACGGCCGCCAAGATTGTGGCATCCCGGGTTCGTGCATTGCATCGGCGGCGGCGTCATAACGGTCTGGAACCACGCCACCCATGGCAATGAGCAACAGGATGACGCGGTCACGAGTGGCAGGAGTGAGCATGGAAACGGCATCCACCAGCTCAGCCTCCGAGCTGCGGTCCCCGACCTAGGCCCCGACCCGAAGCAGCACCTGAACCACGGGCGGAGGGAACCGGAGCTCACCAAAGGCAAGTTGCTCGCGGGACCAACCCCTGTGAAAGCTTCCGAATAGCTAGCCAGCCGCCTCGGCCTGGGACGACAACTGGGTCGCGGTTGACTCCTCTTGCATCCAAGATGTCCTCGCCGTCCGGATTCGGTCGATATCCTCGGGCTCGGCATCCTGCTGCGGGCTTCTTCACTGCACTGAGCAAACCGGTCCTCCAAAAGCCAAAGTCTGCTCGTTCACCCGAGTCATTCCTTGACCACCCTCGGTGTCAGCTTTCCTCGAGTGGCTCAGCTGGAGGGCCTTGGGCAGGAGAAGTCCCAGCTACTCGTCGCGCAGCTGAGCTTGGTGTTCATGGAACTTCATGATCTGAGTCTCCCAACGAGCGCAGGCCTTGTAGCCTTCGCCCTTGTTGCGAGTGGTGCGCCTCATACGACCTGACGAGTTGATCATCGCTTCTCTTTCGTCCTCACGACAGAGCTCCTCTGGCGCCATACTCCTGAGCAGGTCTTCGCCATTCGGAGTGCTCCGCATCCTGGCTGACTCCTTTGCCAGGTGCTTCAAGTCGTGAAGGGTGGAGGGGCGAAAAAAGAGGCTCACGGGTTGCCTTAGAATCCGGTTCGGCACCTGCCTCCTCTCGCTGTCGGTTGGGCAGCGGCCGTCTGATAGTACTTCCGCGGAGTGCGACAGTGGTTTCACTCGGACATGTCTTGTCTTCCTTCCCCTTGGCCGCTTGAGCCTCCCCAGTCAGGCAACCGCTTGCAGCACTCACGAGAGTGCATGTTTTGGGACACACAAAACACAAGCACTCCACGTTGTTTTGGTGGGCATCTGTGGGTACGAAAATGAGCGCAGCGGAGGATGAGCGCGCGGATAGGGACACGAGCAGGGTCTGCAGGCTACAGGAGAACCACGTGAAATCAAGCCAATTCTAATCGACACGATCAGATCAAAGGCTGCCAGCATACATCTACAACCCGAGCTCTTACCAATCTCTTCTTGGTTACCTGGGTGTGCGGCCAAAGGCTTGATACACTGCATCTCCACCAGGTATTCCACCTTGCGAAAGCCGTGAAGAGGACAGAGTCACAAAAACGATGGCTCAGCCTGCTGTGGAGATCCACCCGAGGTTGCGTTGCTGATCGCCCAGGCTGCCTTGCATCTCTCCCATCAGATTGCAGGTTGGTCTGTCCTGCCGTGACAGGCCTCTTTCTTGATGTCAAAATCGGCCGTCTGCAACAAGTGGATGACCTCATGTCGGCAAAGTGCTGTGGACCGGACAGATACATCGTGCCGATGACGCCGAGCAGCCGGTGGGAGCAGGCCGTTGTTGATAACCTCGTGGCGGCATGACACTCTTCGCACAGATGCTCTTTCAACTGCACCTTCCAATTGCGATCTTCGGCGGATCGGAATGCGACTATGCAATCCGAGATCTGTGTACAGCGTCGTCTGCGTCGAACGCACCGAATGCACAGCACACGCCTCCTGAATCTGCTCGCGATTCCCGGCCGTGATGTTGGAGATTGTCCAGCAGCTCTCTTTTCTAATTGCCTCTGAATGGTCGGAGAAAACAAGCTCATTGACGCAGATCAAAGGTGCCTTCTTCGCATGGGAGAGAAGCTTGAGGAGCGAGGGCAAGGCCCCGCTCTGCAGAATCACCTTCTGAAAAGCGGTTCCTTTCTGCTGGTGGCTGGAGATGGGCCGTGCCTGGGTCTGGTTGTCGTCGCCGGTCACGATGTTGCCCACAGCCCGCAACGCGGGCGTCTGCACCAGTGGGGACGTATGGAGCCTCGGTGACAGCGCAGCGACCTCTTGGATTCCGAGTGCACCACCGCGCACGTCTTGGGCAGAAGCAGCAGCTCCACAAGCCGACGGCAAACGCCGGCCTGACGCTGACGAAGCGCGCTGCAGTGCTTTTTGCTCTACTCTCTCATCTCTCTCCCCTCCTGGATGACGGCTGTGATTCGCTCGTTGGGGCCATCCGACAAGTAGGAGAGGGCCCAGCAGGCATCGGTCAGGACCTGTTTCCAACTTCTAGGGCCCATGCCTGACTGTATACTGATTACTGATGGTCCCATACCTCGCAGTCGCAGGAGTAGATAAGGTTCGCTAAAGTGCCCAGTGCCGGCGACACCTTCAGAGACACCGCTCGGCACCTGCACCCGATCGAACGTCCAGGTGCCGTGCCCACTCGAAGGGTGGCGGAGGTTTGCCGCGGCAAAGATTTGACAGTGTCCATGTAGCATTTCGCATCATCGATGTCTTCTCCGACCTAACTCAACGTGTTGCCCGGCACCTTCCTACATCCTTTCGTGGCTGACTTGCGTGATTCCCATTCCGTGCAGTCCAAGGATCTCTCGCAGGACAGTCATTACAGGGTGAAGGCCTGGAGAGAAGAATGGCGTGCAGTGAAGAGCAGTGCAATTGCCTTCCCTGCCTCCACTCTGCAGGACCAGATCTCTAAAGTTAGGTGAATCGCCGGCGATGTTACCCAACGCCTAAGGAATGCCGAGCTTGCTACCACAAAGAGGACGCCAAAGCGCTCAGTAAAGCACCCAAACTGCTTGCTCGCGAACATCGTCGTTCGGAGACTGACAATGCACCGCACTCCCTCTAGACTAAGACACACATGATGTCACATGACAGATCTGGCAAGCAGCATGTCACGGACCACACAGGCACGAGGTAGCACTTCCTTTTGGAGCGACGACTTGAAAATTCGCAGGCGCGACTGCTTAGCAGCCCGGCCAAGGATCGGGTCTTCAGGCGGAGTTTTGCCGGTGCAACCAGGAGGACAGCAGATCTCTCCACTGGCTCCCGTCACGCATCTCAGCTGAGATCCCAACTGCCTTTCAGCTAGAGGCCACAACTGGGCCAGGCATTGAAAATGAGTCATAAGAAGTAATTGTTGCCGTCACAGTCGCAGCACCGGCAGGACCGGGCCCTCATGGCCGCCCTGCCAAGCTGGCAGGGAAGTCGGTGCACTCGGCCCCCCCGCCGGGCCCGCTGAACGCATTTGAGCTTCTCGGAACTTCGCCCGCTGAACACAAAGGAGCTGCTGCTGCTGCCGCTGCTGGTCCTGCACCTGCTGGCGATGCCTCAGACTTCAACTAAGGGCCCCTATAGGGACTCTCTGAAGGGACCTCAGGGAAGCGGAGCGGGGCGCCGGGGCGCGCGCCTCAAATGCCGGCTGGCCAGTGCGGCAAGACCCTTGGCTTGCAAAGTCCACCTGCAAAGAAAAAAGGGGGCACGCCACAGCTACCACAGCTGCAGAAGCTGCTTTTCCCCGCCCCTGGACGAGGAGGCTTTGGATCTTCTGGTCGTAAAGCACTCGCAGCTCCTGCACAAAGCTTACTCCATGCTGGGTGTTTTCACTACGAGGTATGGATCCTGCAAATGTCTTCGATGAAGCTCTGCCAGGTCCTTCACAGACTGCAGATTAGTAGAGGCTCCGACTCGTGCGAAAGACTGGTCCTCCATCAGCTGCACGTCAACCTCGTGCAAGCAGGCGGACAGCCTCTGCAGCATCCACACCTCCTCGTTTGACAACGCCATCGCAGCCGACAAGTTCGAGCGGTGCCCGAACTCGATCTCTGAGTGCTCTGTCTGCTCCATGTGCACCGATCCGGGTGTCAAGGCTGGGCCTGAGCAGCCTGTGCCTGTTGCCACGTCCAGCCACGACAGAGCCGTGTTCTGAAGAGCTTGCCGCTCTTGCTCCAGCGGCGGCTGCAGAAAGCTAAGTGGGCCCGCACCCGCCCCTTCTGCAAGTCCAGCGCTTACATCGCCCGGGCCCAACATCGCGTGTAACGTCTCTCAAAATTCTGGGCGAGCTCAAGTATCTGAGCCCAAGCACCAGCTGCATCCGTAGCTTCGGCTCAAAAATATCTAGATTCAGTGGATCAAAAGGAAAAGGCACTACCGTGTCTGCTCGTTCACTGCGGCCTGCAAGAGCTGCACGAAGATGGGCAGCGCACCCTCCGGATTTTGTGCAGAAGGTCAAGATTCACCACAGTTGACAGCACCTGCTCCACGACCACGCGGGTCTGGTCTGCATTTCCGGAGGCGATGTTGGTGAGCACCTGACAAGGGATCTGCCCCTTCAGCAAGAGTCAGCCGGAGCTGTCAGAAGCTGTCAAGAGCTGTCAGCTGCAAGTGAGCACCCATGCGGCTTCAAACTGCAGGTCTGGCCGATTGATTTCCTTCAGGAACCTAGCGCAAGGAGCCCGTTGGCTCAATTTAACAGATGGCTGTTTGAGGTGAAGGCTGGACGAAACGTGGCACCACACCTGCATTGATGACCTCCGAGAGGAAAAGAAGAAGGGGAAAGGGAAACACGGCCGTCATGCCCCTCGCCTCCGAGATGGGCGGGTTCTGCTCGATACTCAGAAGCTTCCGGAATTGCTGGGTGGCATTGAACTGAGCCTCAAACTCAAGCTTTCAAGGAAAAAGCCCTTCCTCTCTCGACCTGGCCTGGCCTGCGGATCGTCCGACAGCAAGGCCTGGCTTAGAGCCGGGATCTGTTCCACGGCACAGTTGCTGGGAACTGTCGCCATACCTGAGACAGAAAGCCGAGCAGGACCGGTCAGTCTAGTTTACTAGTTTATGGGCCCCTGCGTTCACCCATTTGTGCCAAGGCCATCGGGTCAGTTGTTTGGCCGGCCGCGGGGATGTCGTTGACCATCCTTTTCTTCATCAGCGCCTATCGCAGCACGTTACTCGAAGACTGATTGATGAACTGAACTCCACCTCGTCCCTGGTTTGCTTGCGAAGCTGGACAGCCGCATCTTCTCGCTTCCGCCGTGCATCATCTGCATCAACCCCCTTCTTGAAGGCCTGGCACCAGAACCCTTGGATGCTGTGTCTGCAAAAAGCACTCCTTTTCGCCTTTTGCCGCTGGCTGAGTCTCTCTCCGAAACCCGACATGGTGGCCGGGATGACTAAGAACAGCCTCGAGAATGCGGAAAAACGAGCCCCTCAAGCTTTTGACGAAAAACTCTGCTCGCTGCTCTCTGCTATCGAGGTCGGAGCGGAAAGAATGCTGCACATGGCCGAAGCGCAGAGCCAAAAGAGAAACCGAGCGAAGGCCCAAGCCTCGAACGAACCTGTGGCAAAACATGCAGATTTCCTCAGGCCCGCGAATGTAAGGTTTTAGACCATCGCAACACTGGCGCAAGCCAAAGTCGGGTGCACTGACTGTATTTGACATAAGGCTGAGCTGGTGAACGGCATGTGTATTGCTTCGTCCTGGATTAAAACTCGTTGCGACATGAAACCGAAAAATACTAAATTTGATGATTCAATCCAATATCAGCTTTCCATTCCACATCACAACCTCGCGAATGTACGATTTGAAGTTCACGCCCACTGGTCGCAGTCCGATATCACTCCACCAATGAGCACATCCTCTGACCCCGGGCAGGTGGGCGAGTAGGTTTGGAAGCTGCGGGTGCTTTCCCTCCTTTCCCCCTAACTGGAAGATGCGAATGCAGACATGTTAAATCCGGTCAATGCAAGAGAACAGAAGAAACGTGCGGTGGTTCAAGACTTGAATCAAAAGGAGCACGAAACAAAATTGATTAAGCTACACATGTTTTGGCCTGTTTTGCTTCATGTCGCACTCAAATCCAGTGCCGTGGTTACAATTTAAATTACCGTGCAGGCCAAAGTCCCACTGAGTTGTTGTGAGTATAAACCTTCGTGGAACTTGATTGGGAGGAAAAGGCCCCGGTTGGCGGACCGGTGCCCACGTCATGCCATGGCCGAAAGCCTGTACTTCACCTCGACAAACCTTTCAATCAAATGATTTCCAATATATTTTAAGTTTCGGTGGTCTCCTTGCAAGTTTACATATTCCCAACAGGTATGTGGGAAACGAAGTGTATTTCCGCAAACAACACTGTTGGAAAACAGTTTATTCCCCAATCAGAGACATATATTCACTCCCCAACCGTAAATGCGAGAACTCGGACTTCGGATGTTTTGTTGTCGTAAAGTCATCGAGGCGAGATGGCGAAGAAAAGAGCAAAGTCAGCCCACAGGCAAGTGCGGCCTGAATCGACCCATAGGCAAGCGCAGCCTGAATCGAGCAACCATCGTCCCCCAATCTTGCAAAACCGCATCGAAACATTGTCGGGCAGGTGGGTGTCCGCTCAGGTGCCACAACCTTGAGCAAACTTCCACCGGCGCAGGACAAGCTTCAAAATCGCCCAAGAGAGACATCAGGAAAAGCAAGCATCGAACCAAAGTTCTCATCACTCCAAACGGGCTTCAGGAAATACATACAATAACGTGACAGATCGTGTCTGGACTTTTGCCTCAGAAAGCGCCCCCTCAGCTAAGCCGAGCTCCAGCTGCCATTCAAAGGACCAGGTTTGGGAAGCGAGCTGGCCTTACCAACCTGTGCTGCTGTTCGGGCAGACATGGCACGCAAATGTCGGCAGCGTTCAATTGCTGCAGGTGCGCCTATGGCTTTGCTTTTGCTTTGCACACGCACCGCTCAAGTAGGACGGCAAGCGCTGTTAGAGCAGGCTTTACCCCGGCCACTCTATTGGTGGCAATGAGTTAGGAAATCACTAGTATGGACCAGGAGCGAACCCCAAGGAAGCAGACCCCCAAGCAACAGGGACACGGCGGCACCAACGAACAACAACAACAACAACAACAACAACAATTTCAATTGGACGCGGCGCGAGCGGGCTCAGCGCATAGCGGGCATGTAGCCGCCTTGGCACTCACTGCAGTGAAACCGGCCTAAAAAATCGAGAGCAAGCTTGTTTGAAAAAGTAGCCACGGCGTAAAAGCAGCAGGCTTGGCCAGAAGCGATGCTGAACAGACCGGGCGGAAGAATGAGACTTTGCCCCAGCCGAGCGTGAGAAGTGCTGTTAGCCAAGGGCACCAGAAAAGACAGCCTAGCCTAGCTACGGCTGGCCAATGGCCCTGGTCCTATGCTGTCAGGCCGCTCAGAGAAGACCGATCCACGCCACGCTGCCC